CATGAATCGGAATAAGATGAAATATAATTTAACACATAAATCATAGATGACTCAGTAATCGTGCAGTTTCAGAAAACGATTCATAACTTGATCAATATAATTCCAAATTACGCATACCGTATATCAAAACAAAGATAACAGAAATATCTATACGCACAATTAATTTCATAATTTTCAGAAAATAAATCATCGATGAAACATGCACTGGAATCTGAGGCTACGAATTTGGAAATCGAATTCGGGTTCATTGAAATCTATGTTTCATGACCTAGATCCCTAAATCCGATTCCTAAGCATATAAATCAATTAAATCACATAAACCTCATCTTATTATTATCATTAATTCATTTAGTACCAAAAGTCCTTACCTCTTTGAAGAAAATCGAATACAAGGAAGAGGAAACCTTACCTCTTTGAAGAAAATCGAATACAAGGAAGAAGAGGTAACCGAAGGATTCTCGAAGCTTTGGCTGAAGGCTTTTGGGCCTGAACTTGGAGTTATCCCGTGGCTGCTTCTCTGAAGTTCTTAGTTGACAAATCATTGATTTATTTGCCGTGTTTGAAGATATAAATAGATGGGAGAGAGAGATAGAGACAGCTGCTGATTTCTTCTTCCCGAAGGAGAAGACTTTTGGGAAGAAATTGGGGTTCTATCAATTGCCGTAGGAAGGTAGGAAGAAAAGGGGAGGAATTACTAATTACATTACATCACTTATGCTTGGAAAGTAGGAGGAAATTTACCCAAGGGCTATTATCCAATATCTAAAACCATGGGGTCCTAATAGCAATTAATCAAATATTTGCAAGTCAAGGATTTCATTAATCCCTTAATACATGGCAACTTAATACACATATAGTGCAGCACATACACGGCACATGCACTCACTACACACATGGTATATATATACACAACTCTAGTAGATATGTCTATACTCATTAAATCATAAAACAATTAGAGATAAATTGCATAGATTAATTACTACACCATAACTCACGTAGCACAACATTCACATATATGTATCTACATTCATTAAATCATAAATCGTAAAACAATTAAAGATGCATTGCATAGATTAATTATCATATCATAATTTTCATGAGGCCATATAAATTATAATTAAGCATGTACATCAGAGTCAAATCAATATAATCTAAATTTAATATCAATATTAGCATAGATTAATTATTCATTCAAAGCACATAATTCATTTAATCACATAAATAGAATTACTCAATTATCTAACCAAATCGAGTCGATCACATTAAATCAAGTATTATAGATCACATAAACAGTTAGGATGCAATAAACATTCACTAGATAATTCATGAAATGGAAATCATCGATTTACTCAATATAATTTCATATAATATGCTTATGAAAATGCGGGGCGTTACAATCTTCCCCCCTTAAAATAAATTTTGTCCTCAAAATTTGAGAAATTCTTCATAGAAGATGATGATATCAAGTTATGACAAAAATTCCGTTTCTACCCAAGATCGGGTAAATAACATTTTGATCGAGGTTACCAAATAATTTGAAAAATAGTTCCTCAACTCTTGGCAAGAGTCTGTTTTATTAAAAACATTTCATGACTAAAATCTGAGACATGCTTTTGGTAAAAGATTCTTAAAAAGATATTTTGAAAAGAGCTTTAGCATGAGTGTCATTACTCGAGGAAAATCGAAATCGAGTCTCAGTGAGACTTCCAAATTTTCTGAAATAAAATCCGATTTAAAAATACCCTTTAACAGTTAAAATTCTCTTGCCCTCACAAAAGCATTTTGCCGCATGGTACTCCTGGATGCATATTAATCATGCTTAGTCCTAATATGCGCATAAGATTCACATAAACACTTTGTAATGTATGGCATCACCAATCAATAAAATGCATCACATAGTTTAACTCAAATAGGTTTCATCATATCATATATCGTTGATTCATTAACCTTTAATAACGAGAATTAGGACATGCTACAATCTCTTCAAGTCACATAAATAGATAATCACCTTCACATAAATTGCACATAAACCAAAGTTAGAACATAATTTCAAAACTTAAGGATATGAATTGCATACCTCCATTTTCTGCAGAGTACAATTTGACAATGGGTTTGAGTCAGTGATTGGAAAACTTCCTTTTCTCGATCTTGATTCCCGTAGAAATTCTGTAACTGTGGGCCTAGTTGAAGTGAAGAGATTTGAATTCCTACTGATATCGTAGAATTCCTTATCCAAGTTATGTACTATATGAACAAGCCTGAGAAAACCCCGTATAGCTTCTTCGATTTCACGATAAAGATAAATATGACCAACAGTGATTCGAATGTATATAAAAAGAACTCCTTTTTTTTTTTTTTTTTTTTTTTTGTACTTCTTACTAGCTTTTATTCTTTAAAACTCAAAGTTTCGTAAGAAATCAGTTTTTAAATCCATTCGAGCATTTCAAATAACTTGAAGAAGGTTTTACAAATATCCTCTTATCAAAATAATCTTGACCATGTAGAGGCATCACAATAGTCAATCGAGTAAAATGAAATGAAATATGTCAGTAGTTTCAAAAGTCTTTATTAAAATCCCAATTTGGTACTCAAGTTCCAAAATCAAAACATTTGAGCCCTTATACTTCATAATTGAAACCATTCTCCCCATATATTATACTCTTAAAAGAGTTCTCAGTCATTCAATAACAAATTCATAGATTTAACATTACCACATAATTCAAACATACAATAGCATCAAACAATTACTCAAATCATAACCTTTCGTCCAATCATACATAGCATGAGATAATTCAAGAAATTTGAAACATTGAACACATATAATCCGCATAGTTAATTTCTAAAGTCTCGTACCTCAAATTAGAGATAATCAAGTAACAACATAATTTAATCACGTAGTTCGAACTGATACAGTCAAAGATTACCGCATACTTTTACGATCACATAAAAATCCACATAATTCAATGCAAAAGATAGGATAGTTAATTTCTAAAGTCGTATGCCTCAAATTAAGGACAATTGAGTAACAACACAATTAATTCACATAGTTCGAATTCATAAAATCAGAGATTAGCACAATCTACTCTTATGGTCACATAAACAGATTCAGGCATATTAACAAGAATTAATTCTCATCACATAAACATACAAGCGAGAAGCTATAAAATACTCAAGTTTTGACATATATCAAGCGTACAAGCTTCATGCTAAATATCACCCAAAGCATAAACATGAATTCTATAATCCAATTTAAAAGAAAGAGCACATAATACTTTACCCAATTCACATAATTCGATTCAAGCGATCAACCAATTAATTTCTAAAATCAAATAGATCGAATTAAAGATAATCAAGGAATAGTATGGCTCGAATTCCACATAACTAAGATTAGTACAATCGACCATTATGATCGTATAGTTTAACTCAAGTTCACCATCAGGAGAATAGATTAGTCATATAAATGTCAATCTAGTGAGATGCTCAAGATCCCAACATATACAAAGCACACAAATTTTTGTATCGTACTATTACTCTAAACAAAATCACGAATTCTGAAACTTTCAATTCGAAAGAAATGATATATCATACTTTGCATACTTTGTTATTCAGTTTTAGTTCAAGCATCACATAAATGAACTTATCTGTATATCACATAGTGCAAGTATATAACTTATTAAGATCAACTAAACATATCACAATCGAATA